GATTATAAGATGGCCTACAGAAGAAAATATTGTAATTTCAAGAAGGAGACACAGAATGTTCCATATGATTCGGTCTTGGGTTAACTGAACATATTCCTGTGCAATACTCTGTGATTCACCGAAGATGCTTAAAAGAAAACCTTATCTTCCGATACTCACTTTTCATGGGGAACAAAATTCTCTGCAACAGAGGAAAAGAAGAGGAAGCCTTTGAAAGGTTCTAGTAGACAGCTGTTGTCTAGACATATCTAACATCAGGATATTTTAAGATACACAAAAAAGTATCCTACTTGTCAGAAGGGATCTAGCATAGAAAGATAATGGTATCTTAAATGAAAGGAATTTGTCTTCTCCAGAATTCTGTTAAAAAAGAGGCTAAAACAAAATGTTGATATACTCCTTGCACAGCTACTGTGGTGAATTAAAGATCCTCATCATTATTATGAAAAGTTTTGTTTCATCTAGATCCAGAATCACTATGGACAATGATATGATATATTTAATAAATAAATAAAAATATACTTTTAAAAAGCCTTCTCTAACCTGATGGCATTCCAGATGTACATGACTTCAGCTCCTAGAAATCTCAGTGATGGTTATGATGGGTGGGATATTCTGGGAGTCAAAATTCATAAAACTAGAAGGAAGTCAGTTTGAGTTTGTCCTTTTTAAGTATCTTTTCATAACTTGGTGTTTTCAGACAACTCTCTTTAAGTGGTGCTATCAAATACAAACTATTGGATCAAAGTTTAGGGCCCTGAGAAAGAAAGAAAGAAAGAAAGAAAGAAAGAAAGAAAGAAAGAAAGAAAGAAAGAAAGAAAGAAAGAAAGAAAGAAAGAAAGAAAGAAAGAAAGAAAGAAAGAAGTGGGAAATAGAGAATTCAGGGTTGTGGATTTACCTTTTCAATCATAGTAGATTTTTTTTGCTGAAGATCATTAGGAGCTACAATCCATCAGATCCAGAGCGTACAAGGATGGGGAAATTGCTTAAAACCAGCCTTCCATCATAGCCATTAATTATATGGGATATGGAAACTTGCATATTCTCCTTATTTTATTTATTTTTATCCCACCTTTATTATTTTTACTAATAAATAAGTCAAGGCAGCAAACATATGCAAAGCACTTTCCTCTTTCTATTTTCCGCACAAAAACAGCCCTGTGAGGTGGGTTGGGCTGAGAGATGGTCCAAGGTCCAAGGTCACCCAGCTTGATCCAAGGTCACCCTTTCATGGCTAAGGCAGGACTAGAACTCACCATTTCTTGGTTTCTATCCTCGTGTCTTAACCACTAGACCAGTGGTGGCGAACCTATGGCACGGGTGCCAGAGGCAGCACTCAGAACCCTCTCTGTGGGCACGCGTGCCATCGCCCCAGTCCTAGGCCTTCATCTGGGTTTTATAAAACCTTTTCACTTTAGGCCTCCGCCGCCAAAAAAAAAGGTTCAATCAATCAGTCAATTTTAACTTCTCATGGGAAAAAAAAGATCTTGCAAAGTTGGAATTGATTGATTGAACTTTTTAGTCCCACCCAGTCTGCTGTTACCACCGCAGCCACGCCCACCGAATGGGCCACACCCACCAAATGGACCACACCTGGCACCCGACGATGCATAAGTGGGTTTTGGGTTGCAGTTTGGGCACTCGGTCCCTAAAAGGTTCGCCATCACTGCACTAGACCAAACTGGTTCTCCTTCCGTATATCATGGTATAGAGGGAAATATTCCTTTAATATAATATTCATTATTTTGTAATGTATGCATATTTCTCTGTTGTAAGAGCACAAATACTAATACATTACCATCTATTATCACATTAGGCCATTTAAATATAAGGCTATTTAAAATCATACTGGAATAGTATGCAGTGTCTCTGACTATAGGGGATTTCAGTTCAAATGCCATGGTAGCTAGAAATTATGGCAAATACAATGCAATACTATTGAAAGGTGCAAAATTGGAACAAATTGTATTGATGTTCCAAGCAACGGCCATTCTATTTAATAGCAGCTGATATCAAACAGTTCCAAAGTTTGCTTTTTCCAAGGCAGCATGAATGTTTATGTATTTCCTCAAAGCAACACATTCACAGCATACCACACCATATTTGTAAATGTTTATCTTTTATGGAAGGAGCAAAAAGCTACAGAGAGAGCTTTGTTATTGTCCCAATGAACGCCTGGTATTTTAAACAATTAAGATGAATGGCCCACAATAATGCCAAGGATTACTAATTTGGAATTGTTCTCGAGAGACCTATGATTTGCAGTTTCTTTGAAGGATGGGTTCATAGGAGCTTAAAGCATGCTTAGCCAAGGTCTGACTGAAAAACAATGTGAAGGTAGTAAAATGGTATGAAAATGAATTGTAATTTTTAACCAAGTTGAAATGGACCCAACTGCCACAATGTTCATCGTAGGAAAGTTGTACAGTGGAAACAAAAATCTTAACAGAATTCAATATTCTGGAAAGTATACCTGATATCAAAAAATGAGCTGATACAATGAACACTGCAATAACCTCATCCTTGAATTGGCTTATGACTTTTTAGTTTTTTTATGTTCTTCAATATCAAGCTTATATTTAACCAAATATTAAATAGTGTTAGTTTTTCCTGTTATGGATGATGTTTACAGATTGCAAGGAATAGAAGAAAATACTCATATAAGGCTCTTGTTGAAATATGTATTATACTAACATTCCATTGTAGAAAGCAACACTTCATTTATGAATTAAGACTTAATCTATCCCAAGTAGTACCTTTCCTTATTATTTCATTTAACTTTCTGTGTATATCTTTATGTGTGTATGTATGTGTGCATGTATGTATGTGTACCTGTGTTTGGGTGTGTATGTATGTGTGTATATACACACAGGCGCACACGCACATGCGCACACACACACACAATTGGGACTGGAATTGCAGTCACTAAGCAATATAGTCATAAAGCATTGTGTCACATGACCACACTACTTAGCAAAAGTAGTTTATTAAAGCAACCATGTCTGATAAAAAGTCCATGTGGTTACTTCCTGGAAACAAACATAGTTTTAGTATGTCACAGATAGGTGCTATACACTTCTGCACATTCAAAAGTACCTCTTTCTGAAGCATTGCATAACCTTCCTGATGAATCTCTTCTGTGAAATCCAGTTAGGTTTGACAACAATGGACAGGATGAACTAGTGGTTTCACTCTGCAGAATGCAATTATTATGTTTTATTTTTTATTAAGTAAGTTATAGTGTAATCAATTATGCATATTCATGAACCCTAACTCCACCGTACATAGTTTCAGATATGCCATCTTATTAAGTGCAATGTGCAATACCATAAATTGTGCAAATATTTAGATCTTACTTCTAACCATACCTCTACGTATTTCCATTCCTCATTGTTGTTCTTGCTTGCCTATACATTTATCACCAATGTTCATCTCCAAATTCCAGGCTGCCTGTATTCATGGAACTGTATGCACAAAAGTTCCCTCTCTATTAATATTAATGCCTAAAGTATGACTTATTGAGTAAAGCAGCATCACATATAGGATACTAAGAGGGTATAGCAATTCAGAGTTCTTTAATCATTGAAACTATTATTTTTATTATGCCTGGGTTGCTGCACTGCTAGGTGCTCTTCAAACTCTTCAGACTCCAAGTCTTTGCAATTATGCATGCCCATATTTGATAATACTGTATATCTAGTGCTTATGTGCTTTTGTAACCATCCAGCTAATACTGCAGCTCATATCAAAATATTATACTATTTTATTATTAAACTGTACAAGTATGTAGATTTTAATGTAGGTCTTGGAACCCATAAAACATTTTAGGTCTTATTTAAGATGGAAACCCTTTGATGAAGACTTGTATCTTTTTAATTCTACTAAAATTCCAATCTATGTCTAACCCTGTCTGTGTAGCAGCTGGGTTTCCAATGAGCCAAGAGTTTGGGTTTTAAAGTTATTTTTAATGCAACTGAGTATGATTCATGCTTAGCAAATCTTGCAGGAATGTTGAATATTGGTAGGGCAGGATATGTCACATTTGGAAAAAAATCTCTGTTGATTTCATGAACTGCATTTAGAGATGGAAAAAAAAGCTGGTTGCAGATATTCCTACTGTACTATTGAAGTGATATTCAAATATTCAATTTTTCCTTTAAATTAACTGTTAAGGTTCTGACTAATAATCCCAACGAAGTAAGCACAGCTGAGACATTCCAATCTCTAATACAAAACTTTATTGAGTATATCATATCGGCACTGATGAATAGAAAACCAACTCTGGCAATATGGTGCCAGAATAATAAGTAAAAACAGTAAAATCTTCCCTCTCCCCTGACAGTCCAGGTCACATTGTCCAATTAGTCTTCAGAAGGTTGTTATGAGAAGTCTCTGCTTGCAATAACATTTCTTGAATGACCTTTATTCCCATGTGGTTAGAATCCACCTGTGCATTCCATCACCCCCCTCCCCCCCTGGGTTTGTTGGCAAGCAAAGAAGAACATGGCTGTTGTAGCGTGAGCATTCTTTGTAGCTTGACATTAACATTTATATTTCTCTTTAACTTGCAATGATGAAATTTATATGCTATGTGAATGACCAATTGGCTTCATAGTTCATCCTCCCAGCCTTCTTATATGTAGCTAAATTTAAATATATATTGAAGTAATATTATGCTAATGAGTTAATTGACTCAGCTGTCCATTTACATGACAAATCTCTCATTATCATTTTGAATGCAGGACAAAGCATAGTCCAGTGCTGAAATAGTTTCTCAGATTACTGGTTTGTTAAAAACAATTCTGTACAATTATCTACATTTGAAACTAATAATTGTTACAAAGTATTTTGATGGATTAAAAATGTATGAGGCATCTATTTCCTCACTATAAAGAAAAACACCAATTCAGATGTTTTGACAAGTTTGTTTTCCTTAAATAAGGCAAAGAAAATGGTTGATAAATAATGATTTCATTTTTTTTATTTCAAATCTCTTTTAGATTCGAAATAAGAGCAAAGCATCCAAGGCTGGGTTATGTGAAGGAGATGAAGTGATATCTATCAATGGCAACCCTTGTGCTGAGTTAACTTATTCTGAAGTTCTTGTTCTGATGGAAGGCCTGACTGACACTCTTCAAATGCTTATCAAAAGGTAAAAGAAATTCAGATTTATTTCTTATCCTGATAGAACACAGCCTCAACCATTAGCTCATGAATCACTTTCTTAAATTATTTTATTTTATTTTATTTTGTTTTGTTTTGTTTTGAAAGTTATATGCCACCCATCTTGCTTAGAGGTGACTTTTAGATTGTGAATTTAACAGATCTTAATGCCCAGGAAAGTTCAGGTGTTTGTAAGCAGATTCTTAAGTGGCTGGTCACAATCCTTTTGAACTGAGTCCAGAAACACTCTGGGAAAAGAATTTCAACACAAAATTGCTGGCATGAGTTCTGTTTCCTTGATTTGCACCATCACCCAAGAAACTAATAATTTTTCAGTGTATTTTTTTCAGAGAAAAAGTGATGTTGGGCCTCATGGAAGTTTATACAATATACAGTAGGGCGTTGTTGTTGTTGTTGTTGTTGTTTGCTAATGCCAGTATAAATTCAATTACCACAATGATTTGTCATTTACATGTTTGTTAGAACAAACTTGCTTACACGAATAATGAAATAGTAATTAATTAAAAGAATTGAGCTTGTAGCCTTAAATCTGGCAAATGGCTTTTGAGTAAACATGGGCAGGACTGATTGTTCTACTACTTGTAACATAAAATTATTTGAGATTGAGAAGAAGTAAAATGTCAAACTAGTTTATGTAATTTGCAAAGTTATATGTGCTAGACCAGGCAGTTTTCGGAATCTAAATAGCAAAAGTCCCCCCCCCACACACACGGGATCAAAAGAATTAGGTTATCTTTTGTTATTCATGTTTCTGGTTTGAGGTGGGCAATAAGTAAGTAAGTAAATAAATAAATAAATGTCAGGTTATGTGTCATTGAGCAATGATTAATCAGATTAATGTTTTTCCATATGTTATCTGTATGCAACTTTATTCTAAGTAATGATATTTCAATATATAGAATTTAAATTCCTTAAAATCAGGTTTGTAGAGGTATAGGGTATTTCTGTAATGCAACATCTATTAATGCAAATATAGCAGCCAATCATAAGGTAATGTATTGTATATGAAGACTTCCTGGTTTTCTCTTCTAAATTACAGTTCTTGGATTCCTCCCTCCCTCCCTCCCTCCCACTGAAGCACTGACTGTCAGTTCAATAACTGTATCTCAATTGCATCCATGTTAAGTACTGTACAGATACTGTAACATATATAACAGGGAAAGAGAAATAAGAAGAATCACCCATGTCTTCTTGGCCAATTTAATTCCTATTGAATTGCATAATCAAAGTAATATTAGTAAAATATTAGTACCTATATTGTCAGGACAGAGAGAAGGTGCTTAGGATATCTACACTAAAGTCCCTTCCACAGAACTACTGCCTTTACGTAGCCTTTTCCCAATTCTAAGCAGAGTTTTATGCTCTTGCACATTTCTCCTTGTCTTAAAGTATCCAAACAAATTAAAAATGGGCTTCTGTGTGGGCTTCTCTGTGGGGACATCACAACAGTGATTTTCAGGGAGTCAGAAGGTAATGAGGGTAGGGGGAAACTGCCCCAGAGCCCCAAAGGAGATATTGCAAAACTGTTTTTCAGCATTTTCTCTGCAGTAGGAGCTGAACTGGTGGATTTCTGAATTCAGCTGGCTCAATAAATGCCCCAAGGCCTCCTAGAGACACTCACGGGTGATACTAGTTTTGAATTGGTGCAACCTTCATATGCAGAAAGCTTCAGAGAGAGAGAAGAATGCATATAAAAGAACTGGAAATGATCTCCTGGGTCATCTTTACCAATTAGTAAACACATAATGAATTGGAGTTTTGTGGAGAATTGAGCGAGTTGAGTTTTCTGATCAAATTCCTTACAGGAAAAGTAATTATTTGAGGAAAGTACCTGATTCTTACCAATAAGTGCCAGATTTTGTGTGTGTGTGTGATAGTGAGACTGTAGAGAAAATAAGTCCATATATACACATAAACATAAAGGTTTTCAAAATCCACTCTCTCTCTCTCTCTCTCTCTCTCTCTCTCTCTCTCTCTCTCTCTCTCTCTCTCTCATTCTCTCTCTCTCTCTCTCTCTCTCTCCACCCCCTCTCTGTCTCTCATTAGTCTCATTATACATTTCCCTGCACACATACAATCCAAGAACCCAAGCTATCAATAAAGATTAACAATTATCTGGCTTATCACCAGTCTTCCTTCTTACAAGGAAATGTTTATGAATTTATTTTATATATGTATGGAGCACAAGCATTGATTATCCAAGTAACACAATGTGATGAAAACCAGCTGCAATCACAGGACTTCATTTATATCAATATATCTTCTTTTCCAGATCTTATTTATGTTAGCCATTGCAGTGCAGCCTCCCAGGTTTAGCCTGATGCTTTAACTACTACACTAAACTAGCTGTTTTCTATATATACCGGTAATACTAATATGTAAAATGGTTTTCAAGGTCATGAATATCAAATTTTGCACACATTGTTGTATATTTGTATATTTGCAGATTATCCAATGGGACAAATGAAACTTTAAGTCTGGAACTAGAAAATGAAAACCTCACTGACATTAAAGATAAGGAATATAAAGAAAGCACTACCCTACAGATCAGAACAGCAATGCCAAGTCCCCACCAGGAATTGCAGATCATAGTGCCAACTGAGGAAACACTCCCAACAAACAGAGAGCAAACTATTGTGGATTTTTCTGGGGCAAAGCAAGAAATAATCCCCTGCTACAAAATCCCTCCCAAAGTGATCGAAGCCCCTAAAGTACACTCCACGGAGGTGTCTGTTGTCTCTGGGGGCAAGCCTGGCTCTACAGTTGAGTTACAGTTGTCCTTTTCGCCTGACAGGAATAAAAGCAGCAGTGCTAGGTCTGGTCTGACTGTTGTGGAGGTCCAAGAGAGCAAGCCTCTGGAAACAGGATCGGTCCTAACACAAGAAGCGACTAGCTGGGTAAAAAAGCCTTCTGCCCAGTGGACAGGCAAGATAATCCAGATTGTTGGTGGCAAAGAGTTCCAAGCAATTCATGAAGGTGAGAGAAAGGAACCCTCTCTCACTAAGGTGGAAGTGATTCTGGACTGTTCTGACCAGGCAAAAGAAGCATCCAGGTCTCTGGCTGAAAAGGGGTGTGTAGAGTCTCAAGTGGAAGGAGGGCAGTCAGAAGCACCTCCTTCTGTGGTCTCCTTTGGAATCTCATCAGAAGGCACAGAGCAGGGGGAAGACGAACAGCCCTCTGAAAAGGAACCCAGCAGACCTCACAAGCACCGGGCAAGGCACGCCAGTAAGTACAGGGTAGCTAAACTAGGGTGGCAGAGCATGAGGGTTATTCTTTGTGAAAGGCAATCTGGCAGAGAACAGTTGCAACCATCTGCTTAGTAGCAATAAATATTTCAAAGAGGAATTACCTAAATATGACTTCCTTTTCTTCTTTGTCTCTCTTCTTTAAACAACTCTCGTTTCTTTATTAATGTTTTAAAACTGTTTTTGCAAACTCCGCTAAAATAAATTATGACAAGCAGGCAATATGTTTTGGAATTCTAACTGGAGAGCACATTTTGGAATGCAAACCTGTTCGTGTCTGAGATATTGATTACTAACTTTCTTCTTCTGGATATGTTTCTATCAAAAGTCTACTAGATAATTTAAGAAGGGCTTAAAAGTTAAATTTTTAAAAAAACCCAGAAGAAAACAAGAAAGAAAAGCTACATTTAATATAAAAGGAAAGGAAAGGAAAGGAAAGAGAGGGAAAGGAAAGGGAGGGAAGGGGAGGGAAGGGGAGGGAAAAGAAAGAAGGAAAGAAAAGGAAAGGAAAGGAAAAGAAAAGGAAAGGAAAGGAAAAGAAAAGAAAGGAAAGGAAAGGAAAGGAAAGGAAAGAAAAGGAAAGGAAAGGAAAGGAAAGGAAAGGAAAGGAAAAGGCCCAAGAAGTGAGGTTTGATGATGCTTGCTGAAAGTTACTTTGACAGACACCAGCATGTGTATTTTTGGCTAGTTATATGATCCTTTCAGTTTTGCAAGGGTTCCCTAGTTTGTAAAGTGAACTTACTATTCCTTTTGCTTCCTATACCTGGAAATCAATGTAGAATCTAGGCAAAGACTGCAGTTGGAAGTAACCTGAGGACCAAACAGTAATAAAATTTGAAAAGACTAACTTGAAATATATTTTGTCAAAGCATCTGCTTGTTTATTCAATTCTATTGTTGGCATCTGGGCAATCATTTCTGACTATTTCAAGAATTCCATCAAGGGATTTCATTGCAAAATGGCCAAGGCATGATGACATACTGTAGCCCTGAGCTATCTTAACAGAGCCTGCCAGGTTAGGCATCTTCACCCATTGCAAATTCCTCCATATGTGTATTTTTAGGACAGGAGCCATTTGTAGTAACCTGTGGATTAAATTGTTGCTTAGACTTAAAGTGTCCATATGCGATCCACATATTTATATCATATTAAATTATGTATAAAGGAAGAGCACATATCCTTGGTATTTTGGCACACTTATGCCTGGCAAATTACATCATTACTTTAAAGAGAAATGAGTAGAACAAAGCAATCATACTAATATTTTTCATCTGATACGTGGATATACTTTAGTTTGAATGTGTTTAGGATTTCAACACTTAATGTGAAAAGAGAAAAGAAATCCATTACTTCTAAAAATAGATTTCCATGTCACAAAGTAATTTAGGAAGCCCTTACACTACACTTTCAAGGACACTTTGCAAGCGGTTATGAGAGTACATTTATATGGCTATTGACAAGCATATCTACAACATAGCAATGTAACAATAAAGATGCTTTATGGAGCCTAAGAGGTAAAATAGCAAACTGAGAGCCAACTATTAGGATATCTAGGATATCTGGTTTTGATTCTTATAAAGCAACAGCAACTTGTTACCTATAATGTATTATTATTACATTTTCATTACCATGGAAAAGATCTCAAATTCCAAAATAGCCTAACTGGTTGGGGTGGAGCTAATGCCATTTTATGTTTCTAACCTTAGTCTAACTCTCAAGCAGCTTACAGTTGAATAAAACAACAGAGCATCTACATGTTTTGTGGCATAAAATCAAATAAATAACCATCCCACACTTTATCACTCTGGCAGAGCTACTTACAACAAAAATGTGTGCATAGACTAATATTTCTCAAATAAAATATAAATATATATATTTATAATTCTCTAATGTCTCTCTAATGCATTGCAATTATCTGCATCCTTTATTTTTTGCCATATATGTGTGAATTCTATGAGCCAATCCTATGTATGTGTTCTCAAAAGTATGTTCCTATCCATAGGACTGATTCTGGGTATAAAATCATAAAATTAGAGCTTAGTTTCTATTTCCTAATATTTGGACAAATATCTTTGCATTGCAGATGAGTGATACTTGCACTAAAATGTGAAAATGTAATATAACAGGCAATGAAGATTTAAAAAGAGTAATTTATCTGATGATAAACATAACATTAGCAACTTCTAGCAGTTGTTTCAAGATAAACACAGGTTTCTATCATCTTCAGCTCTTAAAAATGTTATTAGCAGCTTGATTATATATACAATTTATGTTCATTTTAGATTATAAACTCTATTGTTTAGTATTTTTGTTCCACATTAGTTTAGCTTTAAACTTTCTAAGTCAGGTATATTCCCAATCAATAATCAGATTGCATTGATAAAATATTTGCTCAGATTTGTGTTCTCATTTAAAAATAAATGTGTTAGAAAACATGCTAAATATTTGTACAAGTCTTACTTTTGAGGAGCAAAGGGAATCAAAAATAGGTTTTCATAATATTTTGGGATTGTATTTGAAACTGGACTAAGAACTCAGTAGGCTACTCTGCTTTATAACGAACTGCTTTTAAAACCAATTGCAAACATGATTTGTCACATGTTATGAAAAGCTACACAGACATAAACCCTCTTTGGATGTTCATTCCTACTTGGACTCCAATAATACATCAACTTATTTTTCACCCTTGGTTCGCCCTTAATTTAAATTACTTTCATGGTTACTTTCAGACAGTTTGATAGTAAGATAGCCAATGGTTTCTTGTAGTATCTGCACTTCATCAGTAATACATTCTATAAGCCAGATCTGCTTGCCCCCTTTGAATCTGACCTTTTCATTTCAATGAACATCATATCACAACTTGGCCATAATATATATAGTCTGTAGCCTATATAGTCTATAGCCTGCCTTCATGAGACTTTATCCAGCTATCTGTATAAATTTGTGACCTGTTGTCCTGAATGCTCAACATGGACAATGTATTTCAAACCAGATAGCAATTATCAGGGCTTTTTTTCTCATAGAACGTCCAGAACGGAGTTCCGGCACCTTTTTTGGATGGAACCTTGTAGGGTAGGCAAGGCGGGTTGTATGACTTGTGTGAGTTCCGGCACCTTTTTTTTTTAAAAAAAAGCACTGGCAATTATTCAATAAAACAAGAGAAAAAATAAAATATATTGCTTATGAAAATAAAGTAAATTTTATGAAAATAAATTATCTATTAGTTTACATGTCTTTCAGTTTGCCATTGTCAACCATCTGGTATTTCAGAATATATTCCTGACAGGGACATACTGTTCATTCTAAGAATACACATTGGCTAAATTATTCTCTCTAGAGTCTAAAGAAAATGCCAGACTAAATGGCGAAGGATCCATTGCGTGCTGTCATTTCCCTGCTCTAGGTCTGGAGACCTCAACATGTCACCTAGAGACCTAGTATGATGTAATCTTTGGTGTTAGCATACTATTTAAAAATTAAAAGAAGGAGAGTATGCAAATATGCCAGTTTCAGGATCATTTGAAGAATGCTTCTATGATATACATCAGGCCCATAAGAATTTTTAAATTGTAGGTGGCCACAGTCCACTCCTTCATTAAAAAAAAAAAAAAGTAACACGGTGTCCAGAAAATGAGGAACAATAAGCAGAGAGGAGGTGATAGGTAGCATTTTGATAAACTAGTCCCTTGGGGCTGATTATTCTCACATGACTGAATTTTATACATCCATACACATAAACATATTGCCTCTCCAAATCCTGTAACATTGTGAGAGTTCCCACATGTTCTCACAATTCCAAATCCTAAATAACCAAGGGTTATTTTTATATTTATTGGTTAGGAATGGCATAAAATAGTCCTACTTTATTTTGGCAATTCATATACACACTCACTCACACACACTTTAAGTCCCACTGATCTAACAGTATATTGATGTTATTGCCTCTGAAGTCTCTGCCTGGATGTGCATTATCTCAAATATTGAGCTAGAAGAGATTTATTGTATATTGCTCCCTTTTACTCATAAGTTGGTAATAGACAATAATTAAACAGTGTAATTGCATGGAGAGTAGTGTAGGGTTCTTCTCCTTAAAAAAGAACTCCAATGAAACACTTGTGGGTGGGTGACCTTGGGCCAGTCCCTCTGTCTCAGCCCTAGGAAGCAGGCAATGGCAAACCACTTCTAAAATCTTGCCATAAAACTGCAGGGGCTGGCCCAGGCAGTTTCTAGGAGTCAAAAATCAACTCAATGGAACAAAATAAATTAAATTTAAAAAAATACTTAAATTTTAAGTTAAAAAATAAATAATAAATAAAAAAACAAATTCTAATAAACCACAGAACAAGAAAAAACTCATTCATCCTAGATCCTACTAAGAATGATGCCTCAAAAAAAGACAAACACCTTTCAGAAAGAAATATATTCTATGCTACAACTAATTCACCAAAATTTACTTTAACGTGATTATTATATTCCAAAAAATAGTCCATTACATAATGGACAATGGACAAATATATGCATTGCAATACTGTACTTCTGTCCAGATAATGTTTCAACAAAAAAAATCCTGTATGAATTATTTATTATTACAGAAATTGGTCTTGTTTGAATTAGTATATCTAAATCCTAAAACCTCTCAAGCACTGCATGTCCAAGTTAATATCCATCATAAAAAATGTCCCACTTATTTATCTTCTACCTTACTTTGTCCATATATCTGCTTCTTTATGTGTAGATATATAATATCAAAATTTTGTGAAAGTTGAGATAACAAATCTGTGAGAAGAAAAGATTAATCAAAGAATGTCACTAATGAAGGAATGCTTGCTATGGAATGGTCATGGTTGCAACTGTGGGAAAAGATTAATCTTAATTCCCTGCCTGTACTTTCTTTGTAGGGGAGAGGATTCAGACGCTAAAGAAAAAAAGATTTGCATTACAGTCTTATAACCCAAATAGCTATTGTTAAAATTGTTGTCATGTTATCCACTAAAATATGTTCCTTATTCTTTTCCCACAGGGCTGAGAAGGAGTGAAAGCCTATCAGAGAAGCAGGTGAAGGAAGCTAAGTCTAAATGCAAAAGTATTGCTCTCTTACTGACAGCAGCTCCAAATCCCAACTCCAAAGGAGTGTTGATGTTTAAGAAGCGTCGCCAAAGGGCCAGAAAATATACTTTAGTTAGCTACGGCACTGGGGAACTAGAACGTTACGAAGACGAAGGTGAAGAAGACGAGGGTGAAGAAGGTGAGAAGGAGGACACTTTTGAGGTAACTTTATTTGGCACAAGTGAGTCAGAAATTGATGAAGATTTCTTCTCTGACCTGGATAAAGAAGAACGGATTGTGACATTTGATTGGGATACTGGACTACTTGAGATTGAAAAAAAACCCAAACGTGGGGACGAGATGTCACAGCTGCTTCCAGAGACCAAGGGCAAAGGGGCACTCATGTTTGCCAAAAGACGTCAAAGAGTAGACCAGGTCACTGCTGAACAAGAAGCAATGAAGATGCAGGGTATGCATAGAATTGAGGCACATCGAGAGGCCACTTCAACAGAGACCACCCAAAATATGAGTTCTTCCTTTTATCAGGCAAAACAAGAAGAATCTGCCAGAATGCAAAAAAGCCATATAAGCAAAAGCTACATAGAAATGAACCATAATCCTATGACGACCATTCAGCAAAATGGCATCAGGGTTGTCCCAGAGATAAATATGATATATCCACCTCCAGAAGCTATTAGCTCGCCTACTTCAAACAGAACAGCCAAACCTTTCCCTGGTATTCAGAACAGAGCAGCAGTTCCATTTTCACCCCCAAGAAGCATGGTTACTCTTCCCTCCGAGCTACCTGCCCCACCTCCTTATACTTCAATCAGTCCACCATCTGAAACATTATATAGAACTGTTTTGACTCCAGTGGCCACAAGCATGAGTCAGTCAACATTGTGGTCTCCAACAGAATCAACAGAGCAGATTGCATCCAGGGATGAACGGATTGCTGTGCCCGCAATAAGAACTGGAATATTACAGGAGGCCAAGAGAAGAATCACTGCAAAGCCTATGTTTACGTTTAAAGAAGCTCCCAAAATGAGTCCAAATCCTGCTCTTTTGTCCCTCGTACAGAATACAGAAGGCAAAAAACCTGGTACTGGTGGCTTTGAATCAGGTCCTGAAGAAGACTACCTCAGCTTGGGAGCAGAGGCCTGCAATTTCATGCAAATCCAGGCAGCCAAACAAAAGATCCCACCCCCAGTTGCTCCCAAACCCTCAGTAAAGGTTTCTCCTACTGCCACAACACCTATTTCACCAGTCTGGTCACCTCCAGTTGTGGCTGTTACTCAAGCTCCCATCTTTCCAGTTCCAAAATCTCCAGAAGTAATAAGTCCAGCAGTCATCAAAGCAGCACAACCAGCTTATCCCCCTCCACAGCCTCCGCAACCTCCACAGCCTCCTAGTACTCTTAACCTGGAGTCTTCCTTTAAGGGGGCTCAAGTTTCATCATCCCACCAAAATTATACCCCTAAAACAACACCTCTCACTCCATTAGGAAATGCTGTTCTTGCTGGTGGAATGGGGCCAGCTTTTGAGATGCCCCCAGCATTGAGTGGCAAGGGAGCTCAGCTCTTCGCTAAAAGGCAATCACGGATGGAAAAGTATGTAGTAGACTCAGAAACTGTGCAGGCCAATCGGCCCCAGGCCTCATCCCCAACTCCATCATTACCAGCATGTTGGAAATATTCATCAAATGTTCGAGCACCACCCCCTGTGGCTTATAATCCCATCCAGTCTCCATCTTATCCTCTTGCTGCTATCAAACCTCAGTCAAAACATCCTGGAGCTACCAAAACTACTAAGAAAAAATCTAAGAAATTAAGCTCCTTAGAAGTGATGAAGCATCAGCCATACCAGCTTAATGCATCTTTATTTACTTTTCAAGCTCCGTCTGATACTAAGGAAAATCTCCTTCCCAAGATTGATTCAGTGCCTGCCTTGAAACAAGTTGTACCATCAAGAGTTCTCAATGCTGGTTCTCCCTCTAATGTTCAAGCTTCTTCAGTATATTCTGTACCAGCCTACAGCTCACAACCATTCTTCCCATCAAATGCTTCTAGTCCTGTAATTGAGTCCTATACATCAATGGGCTGCCCTACATTTTTGAAGCAAGAACCAGCAGCATCTCCTGTATTCTCTGTTCCCAGGCCAAAATTCTCAGCCAAGAAAGTTGGTGTCACAGCACAGGTGTGGAAACCGACAGCTATTGAAGAGTAAAATATAGATACAACTCACTGTTCACTTTGTTTGCCTGAATTCTTTGTAATCATAACCTGACACCCAAAATGATCCTCAGTTTACTTAATAATTTTCAAATATATCACATAAAATCGGGTCCAAAAAAGGCTTAAGCCTGAAAATGTATGCACATTACTTCAGGTAACTGTGCATACGTCAATTATTTTACATGAATTAAAATGAATATTAATTTGCAAAAATTGTATGCATTTATGTATACAATACTTTTATTACTATTATCCAAGCTGGCACATAGGATATTCTATAACAGTCATGTACTAGTATTAAGTAAGTAGTATATTAGGCGTTAGTGCTTTGATACACACATACTCAATGGATTCTGTTCCTGCATTTTATCAATTAGAGCATAGTTTTCACTAGGTTTTACTCTTAGGGAAGGAAAATATGCTAATCCAACAGCCTGAGTATAGCCAACCAATTATTTCTGGAAAATGGAAATATTATCACTCATGAATACAGTTTGTATACAACACAGATTTGACCCAATTCTGCAATTGAATCCTTATAAAAATTCTGTTAAGCCTCCTCATCATAATGGGGTGAGTCCTATTGTTAACTTTTTGTATTGCATCTATGAGTGTGGGAATGTATAAGGTTTTTTTTTTATGTTCCCACAATCAAAAGTTGAATATGTAAAATTATAAACTCAAAGTGGAAATTCCTTGATTCTCAGCTAAGATTACAGATAGTCCAGCAGAAGTACATGATTTTGAGAATATTCTATGTAAATTAAGCCTTATGTAGACACTCAGATAATAAGGCTGTGTTTCATATAATTCCTATCCCCATAAGAGGATAATTTGTGTATGTTAGCACAGATAGGTTGCTTTTTTTGTTCAGTTGTAATATTTTCACACAATGGGTCCTTCAGGGTAGTTTAAATATGGCACACTATCATGAATTACCTCTGATTCTCTCTTCTTGAAACTATAAGTATCTTTTAAGGAAGATTATAGCAAGTTTTGGAAAAAGAAAGACAATAGGAAAGGAAGCTTAGTCTGTTTCCCTTTTTAAACAATGTTGACCTCTTCGACGTTAGCGTGGTTCTTTGACTGTCATTAGAAAAAATAATTAGAACTCTTGAAGAGCCAAGAAGATAAGCTGGCTTCTACAGCTTTGGAAATGGTGCAATATGTCATTGTGAAAGCAGAGTGACTAAAATATGAAAGAACATATCCTTGCGTATCAGTTTTGCAACCAGAATAGTGATGTGCCAAAAACCTAATTGAAATATGATATGGCTTGACTCCTGACCTCATTGCTGATCACTGGGGCACATTCTTGTTTTCATTTGGGACTTTCCGATCTTGCTTCTTTCACTTGTATTTCTTTTCACTATATTCTTGTTTTCACTCTGCTTTTAATTAATATGTGGTGGACCAGGAGGATCAAGACACTGTTACCATGCCATCTTCTGCTAAGATTATACCTCCTTATTTCAGTCTTTGGATACAAACGGACAATATTTTTGTATCCAGTAATGTTTCAATTTGTAGGTGAATATTTACAGATCAATGCACTCAGATGAGTTTAACCCATATTCACAAAATTGGTTAAGAAATAACTAATTGATGGCCTTTTCCTGTTCTTTCACCGAATTTGTTTGCTAATAATTAGTTAAACTAGTACAACAAACTAATAGTATAATCCTATGTCTTTTACAAAGTAATTCCTACTATTGTCTGAGGAATTTACTCTCAGAATATTGTTCTTAGGATTGTGCCTAAATAGTATGAATTAATTTAAATCTACAAAAATTCTATTCTTAGTTTGAGGTAAGCTATAAATATGGTGAAACAGTTGAATAATAAGATTTCATGTAAAGGCACCTACTACTGATGAAATCTGCTTTGGGAACTGCACAGTACCCATCAAGACTGATGTTGTCTATTTTGATTCTGAAATTCAGGATGAGACCTTTTGTCAACACTGCTACTTTGTCCTGTTAATTGGAGATGCCAAGGACCTCTGCTGTCAATAATCCACTAAAAATTCTTGACTTCTTGGATTTCTTTGAAAGTGAAATGAATTTGTGCTCTGCCTGTTACTCTGTTCACAATAACCACTTGGCTAGGACAATTCAAGAAAGAGACATATTATGGTAATTTGTTCAGCCATTAAAAGAATGATATGAAATTAATTGCAGAAGCTTCTGATTCAATATTACTAAAATATAAATGATTGTGAATCATATACATGCACCTACTCACCTTTACCAATAATCATAATTAAAATGTCTTTATAGACAGTGTATGCCCTGATACACAGAAACATAAACCAAAATATAATTTCCTGGTTTCCATTTGTGGCATGACATTATGGTTAAAAAGAAAAATGTAAGGGAAGCCATAGAATAGGTTACAGATTGCTACAGACTGTGGAATTATGGACACAAGACAAGTGAGAACACTTCCTTTTTTTGTCTTTGTAAGGTTGAAGATTTGTGCATGTTGAAGGACAAATTCAAAAAGGAAAAAGATGTGAAATGTGCCTTATAGTGTTATGCATTTGGAAGAGATTTAAGATTTTATATATGCAGATCAAGCATTCCTTGACAATACATATCTTTATCTATATTGCATAAACAAACTGCTGGACTAGCACCTTGGTCTTAAATATATTGATCAAGTATTTATCTTAATTACCATAAGACCTATGTCTGGTGTTCCAAGTGCTACTTGGCTTTAGATAAATTATTTTATCTGAATTAGCCAATATTGGAAGTCAAGGGTGATTGTTTAATTTTTTTTAATGAATCAACAATCTGCACAGAAATGTATACAGAGGATTCTTTGCAATACAATCTAAGATTATATGGTACCAATATTTTAATCCTCTTGAGATCTTTCTGTTCATTTTCCAATTGCAACTTGCTGTATTTTTCTCTAACATTAAAACTGTTCCTTTCTTCGTTTTTATTTTTCTTTCATTTCACAAATATTTATCTGCAATTTCAAAATATTAGCATTTCTTTCTTCCTTATTTGCTTCCTTCCCTAAAATAACTCAGAATACTGCATTAAAGTAGATCAATAACTCCACTTAATCCATATTCTTGAATCTGCCCCTTAACTATATTACCACTAGCAAACTAGTGTAGAGTAACATTGTAGTCTTGTATCTTTCTGCCGAATGATAAACAAAGGAAATAATCAGAATAATTTCCCAGTTCTGGCCATAATGTCATTCTGTTTCAGTGGCTTATCCTCCCAAGGGTGGTTATTCTGCTTCTATGTATCTTCTATTATTCTATAATTCCATATTTCTGATGTTCTTCTTCTCAAGATCTTCCCTAGAGAATTCCTCAGCGTTGAGTATGGTGAATGGCTCTTATCATATCTGTCAGAATTGAATTATGAATTAAACTGATAGGGTGGGATCCTGTGAATATGCATATGGAAATTTTAATGCAGACACAGGGGTCTGATCTTATTTATTTAAAAAAGGTGTAATGTGTTAGCATGAATTGCTTTTTATTGAAATCTATATTTTCTGAAGTAGATTAATTAATGCTTTGAAGCCTGAAAGTGTGACTGAGGCAGGATATGCCGAAAAAGTGAAGACAGCAGTCATGATCTTATAACCAAAGCTCCACTCCTTTCTTGTGTGTGATATGAAGAAATATACAAAAGGATTATGACCACTGCCTTGATTTTTTTTTAACCCTGGCTCCCATCCCCCCACTGCCCTTTGACCGACCAAGTTATTGAGAATTACAATTCTGACATGATTTTGAACCATTCATAACATAGCATGAGGAAGTCTGCAAATTAAGTAGTTTTAACTTGTTGAACATATTTGTTCAAATCAAAGATAGCTTCTATATAAAGGTGTCTTTTATAATAATCTCTCTCCTAAAGAAGAATATTACACTTACAATTATTAAATACTCTTTTCAAAATAACCACCTACAACATTTATTTAAGAAGACATACAGTAGTGGATTTGTATACTGTGTCACTTCAATGTTCACTTTTAAAAAGTGTTTTCTGGAAACTCTACTATGCCCCCCTATATATTGCTATGGCTCTGGGAAAGCATGTTCTCTTTCTGAGTTGGAGAGAGGTTTAGAATGCTTCTCATATTTTACTTCACAGGGAATAGTTCCCAAAGGGGATTGGTAATAGAATACAGTGCCTCTCGCCTCTTGGTCAAATATGGCCTAGGGACAGGAATGACTGAAAGACCTGGCCAGCTGCTGAGTAGTGTGAGTGACTTCAATGAATGGTATCTGTTCCTACTGTTTAAATAAACCAATTACTATCACTCCTAACCACAACTCCAATAAGCACTAACTGTCATTCCTATTGAAAGGCACAGAAGTCTCAAGGAAAATTGAAATCATGACTTAAGGTTTTGTAGAATATCCTCAAACTAGTCTGAATTGTCAAGGAATTGCCATGCTTTGTCTTATTTTTGAAGTACCCATGTTTTGGGGCAATTTCATTAGAAAAGAAACACATTGAGAAGCCAGCAAATAAGATAAGAAACACAAAACTTTGTAGAGTTGTGGAAATTATTAAACCTCATGGAATTTTGCCACTGTTGCTCTGTACATAATAATTTTCATGCTCCAAATCATGATTAAGCCTCAAGTGTTAAATGCAGAAATATATATTTCATCCTACTCTTCCAAAAGCTGGTGTGACATAAGGATAACCTGTGGGATGGGAGTTGGATATTATGCTGAATGATAAGAATGAATGTTGTGAAAGGACATTTATAGTCACAAAGCAGTGGGTGTTTTACCTACCAAAGCTCCTTCTTCAGTAGTCTCTCTTTCCTATTTCCCAAATTTATTACCAATTTGGTAATAGACCACCAATTGGCAGAATGGCCTATGGAAAGTGGTTGTGGAGGAAATTAATAACATTTAAGCATGCACACATACCAGATACCATCATCAAATTCTTGCAGTCCCTACATTCACGTTGCAGTCCCTGACAAATATGAACTTGTGAAATAAGTGCTTTGTATAGGT